TGTGAGGAACAAATACATGTTAAGTAATGAGCATAGAAACTGGTGTGTAGGTAGCCATAAAAATCTGTGTTACCACACTTGCTGTGATTATTTGTTGCACCGTATCACTCCACCACCCAACCTACGGTTCAAGAAGTAACCCTTAGAATCAACAGACGGGATTATAGGCGAGAAAGCCACGTAAAGTTCACCTCAGTGTCACTCAGGCATTGCATCTGTTTACATACGGACTATCTTTAGTGTCACCTGGGCAGTGTCATTTCAACCAGTTCATTGTCCAGTGAATAAACTTTATGAAATTGTCATTTTTCTATTTCCTGTTTATTGTGTAAAAATAAACTAAAACATTCGATTTGGTCATCCTGCATTTAAATAATTGGACTCGTATATTAAAAACTTTCTGCCCAGCAAAGGAAACAGACTATTAGTCTGTTTCATGACATGTCATGTCTCATGACAGTCTATAGAATATGAAAAAAAGTTTCATAGCTACTCCATGGGCAGTGGATTAATACGTAGAATATATAAGGAAATCAAGAAAAGTACACTTCTCAAAGTAAAAGATCCAATCAAAAAATGGGCTATGAAATTAATAGACACTTAGCAGAAGACACAGAAATAGCCAATAAAAACATGAAAAATGTTTAACATCTTTGGTCATTAGAAAAGCAAATGCTGGTGACGTTTTGGGGAAAGGAAACACTTTTTTATTGTAGTTGGGAATATAAACTAGTATAACCACTATGGAAATCAGTATGGAGGTTTCTCAAAAACAAAAAATTGAAATTCCAGTGGATGCAGCTAGAATGACTTCTGGCATCTTCTTGAAGGGGTTAAAAGGCATCATATTATAGAGCATTATGCCTCCCTATGTTTACAGCAGCAAAATTTATAATAACTAAATCTTGGAAATGGCATATATACCCATCAGTATATGAATAGATAAAGAAAGAATGGTAGTTATAAATGTGGTAGTTACAATGGAGTTCTAGTGTTATAAGTTTGAGTTACTTGTAATAAAAAAACACACACTTTCAGGACACAATGCTAAGTGAAAAAAATCAGACACAGAGAATTAATTTCTCTTATATGAGAAGGCAAAAATATAAATAATTTAAAAAGAAAAAACAAAGATGATAGGAAACAGGGAAGGGGGTACTTTGCGGATGAGATGGACATCTGGGATGTGGGGAGAGAGGACAGGCATGGGGAAGAAGAAGCATGAGGATGTGATGTGTGTGTGCACCAACTCTCTACATGAATGTATTCAGTATGTGTTGCAAACAGGTAATCACATAACGATTAAAAAAGGAAAACTAAACAAAATGGAGAGCCACTATTTACTGTGCTCTCAGGAAAAGCTGAGAGATTAAAGTAAGAACACTTTCCAATCCCATACCATGCTAACATCACCACCATGGTAGAGTAAAAATGGGCAGGAAAAAAAGCTCAACCAGGGCTGGTGGGTGACAGAAATCAGTGGCCAACAGATGGACCAACCCATACGACAAGTGACAGCAGTGCAGGATAATAAAATACCTTCTCAGGAAAGATCTCAAAAAGGAAATGAAAACACAATCCTTATTTATTCAATGTACCTTTTTAAAAAAACATTTCTTGAAGTCATCATCTTGGACATTTTGAGCAATCAGAACATTTTAAATGTATTTACAAAAAGGCATTAAAGTAACACAATCTGTTTATTAAAAAAAAACAAAACAAAATATCCTGAGATTGTGTTTAAAATGAAATTATTGGTTTAAAGTGACTGGTATTTAGCTATATCTCTTAGGTGCCTCATGATAATCTAATAGGAAGTAGTAAAATTTCTAAAATTATATTTTCTCATATGCTAAGTTGAATGGCAATATTAAATAACATCTTCTGCAATCATGGTGTCAAAAATCTGATAGCAAATTTGCTGCTCTGTTCCATTTGTGACATTATATGACCTGATAACACATTCCATCCATGGATATGCATCTACAAATCAAAAAGAAAATGGTATTTAGCCATTAAAACTGAATAGCTATTAATCATGACATATTTGAACTTTTCATCAACAATAGACAAACATGATTAGGATTTTCAAAATGCTGACAGCAAAGGTACTGTAACCATCTCATCTCTAACTTGCAGTTATTATTCCCTGTTCATTGCCCGGTACTCTATAGTGGTTCCTCACTTCACGAACTTATTTCTTTCTACATTACTGGTCACAAATCTAACTGGACAAGAACTGAATATAATTTCTCTGTAAGGTCAACATTGAACCTAACCACTGAATTTGATTTGGTTCTTAGAGCCCAAGCAAGCTGGTGGACATAAATGTCATTTCCAGGATTTGATTTTGATCACAGGAAACTTATTTGTTATTTCAAGAAAAGGCGCTTATTATTCTTCAATTCAAGACTGAAAAACATTTAATTTGGCAAAGGTAGAGCTTGATAGACACCTCTCCTACATTGCTGGTATAAGTATAAATAAGCAAAATATTTTTGGAAAAATTATCTGGGAGTACATATCAAAAGCTACCAGCCAAGGAGTTTTATCTCCAGAAATATGCCCCAAATAATTCATATTCCCAACGCAACAAACAACAAACTGACAACAAACAAAGGTATACAAGTAAAATTTGTCATAAAAATTGTTAAAAACAATTTGCAGAACTGTTAATTAAAATGCAGTGACCTAGAGGTTAAAGTAAAGCTCACTGAAAATAATCTATAAAAATTAAACAACAGTTAAACCTGTAGCAGGTAAAATTTGGCACTGATAAAAACTATGAGGAGAAAAACGTGACCTTATGATTAAGAACTGCAAGTCTGAATAGAAAAAGAAATAATGATCTTAGAAGGAAAAATGTGTGGCAGAATTTGATCTGATGAAAGCCTAGATTTTAATCAAATGTCTATACAGAAAACAGCTAAAATACATTAAAAATTATTAACTAAAAACTGTTTCTTGTAAATATTTCATGTCTTTTGGAATAATTCCATCTAAAATGTGCTCTTACATAAACAGTGCCAAACATGTCTGTGATCAAAAGTGCTTCTTTTATTATATAAGGTATTTTTGAAAGTACAGTGAATGATCAGATTTTTTTAAAAAAATACAGTAAAAAGCACAATGCCATTAATCTCTCTCACACTGAATACATCTATGCCATTATTATTGCTGCTCTCTGAAGCACCTTGAGAACTTCTTTCATGTCTTTAATAGCTCTGCTGTAGCTGCTTCCATGTCCCAAACTGATTAAAAATGTTTAACTTTTGTGGTTATATTTTTACTTTAGGGAAGACCCAGAAGTCACATGGTGTCAGATTCCATGATTAAGGCAGAAGAGGACACACTGCACTGTTTTTAATTGATGAACCTGCCCTAAAAATTTTGAATTAATTCAGGATACTGAGGCAGCTATGAAAGTACAACTAAAGACAGTCACAAAAAAGGACTTCCAGAATTGCAGCAGATGGTGGCAAGAACAGTGGGATAAATGTATTGAAAGAGAGCGGGAGTACGTCCAGGGGATCGATGGCAACGTGTCTTTTACTGTAATACACAGTTCCCACCCAAACTGGTACTCAAATTCAGGATCTCGCACTGCCAGGCAGGTGTCTTGTTGCTAAGCTATATCCCGGGCCCTATAATACTTATTTTTAACTTAATCACTCACTACATTTTTTATTATGTCTTCTATTTTGAAAGATTTGTAAAATCTTTTTACTTTTATACCTACTTTTATCTGTCACAGTCCCATCAAAAGGTTGGAAGATTCAATGGATCAATCACTTTGGAGTAAAGCATTTCAGAGTTCTAAAAGTCCACAGATTATATACCTATGCACTGCTATTTTGGGAAACATAGTGGTGGGTATTATTAAAATCAGACTGCCTACCAATTTTTGCTCCTGGAGGACAAAACATATCCATGATCAAATCCATACTTCTCTGAAGGTCATTATCAAGTAGGACTTCTGATGCTGGAATCTGGAAAAATTTGTCCTTCAAAAAATTATAGCAGAAAAAGAAAATGATATTAATTTTTTGAAACTACAATTAATGTAAAAATATTTTAAATCATCTAATTACTAAAATAATGTAGACTATTTTACTTGATTAAGACTGTAGAATCCATAAACTAAGAGTACTGGTGTGAACTCAACTGATTTATACCACTGCCCCAAAACTTTACACAGTATCTATTTGTGTAACAATAACTCTGCTTCTTTAACATGAAATATGGATGTTCTAGAAATTATTGTGAAACAATAATTATAAATAATGCTGACATAGTATAGGTACCTCTTTACTCTTTGGCCATGAAGTAGAATTTGTATCTGCGAGAAAGAATGACTCACTGATCCATTTGTATTTCTATTTTAATTTATAAGATAAAAAGAGATAATACCAAGACAATTTTTGATTTATGTGTTTGTAATTTATTTAGTTTTAAGCTGCTTAAGTTCTTTTAGGAATAAGGTAGGAAGGAGTATTAGTTTTTTAACATATTAATTTATAATTAGAACTATCTTTCACCAGTACTGTTTAAAACTTACAGAATCCATGAGATAAGCTTCTAGCACTCCTGTTCCATCATCAAAAGTAAATGTCATAAGAAACACATGTTGCAGGGGTACAATACCCAATACTAATGAAGAAAGAAAAATCAAACCACATGAGTCTTCATCAAGACAAATCAATTGTATGCACACACAAATTTTGGTTACTAAAAGAATTTAAGAAATAGATAATATCTTACACATATGACTTTTACTCTGTAATATGAGTTTGTTAAACTCATTTAATGGGTTCTTTTTACATAAGGATAATGTCACATGATATTATAAGCAATGGAAGTTTTTGATTAAATATTATTGTATCTTTCACATGAGGTAATATCTTGAAAGAGATCACAAAAGTGATTTATAAAATGCAATTTGCTATATGCTATTCATATGATAGATAAAATTAAGATGATACAATGTTCTAAAAAAAGGATTTTGGTAAATATTTCTTAACATACCTCCACATTGTAAGTATCAGTGATGCCCTATTAGTTTTAAGGGATATCATCTAGTTAAATGGACAAAAATGTCAGAAATAAGGATTTTTTAGTTTTACAAAATGAAGAAAAAAGGAGAAATTTGTTGATACTAAGAACAAAAGAATTCATAGGAGAAGAATACTTAGGAAAAAGATACATCAATAAGTTTATCGAATGCTTTATTAGCTTCCATCTAAGGAAAGTATATATGACCAGGATTAACTAAGCAGGTAAATAATAAATTAGGGCAAACTGACATGAATTTAAGCATACTACATACCACTAATATAAGGGAATTGATGTTTAGTCTTCAAAAGTTCTCAACAGGTTAAACAGTACACTGAAGCTCAGAAGGATAAACTTAAAGCTTATGCTGAGAGACCACACAAACAAACTATGACCAAAAAAATTCTCCTAAGAATATGATGGAAGCTGGATGTGGTGGTGTATTTCTGTAATCTCAGCACCTGGGAGGCTGACGCAGGAGGACCTTTGCAAGTTCAAGACCAGCCTGGGCTGCAAAGTGAGTCCAAGGCTAGCCTGACCTGCATAGTGAGACCCTGTCTCAAAAGGACAAAAAAAGAAAAAGAAAAAAATATGATGGGGAGACAAGCTTGGTATTATGAGGTTTATATAAAAGTTAACAGGAGATTTCACAGGGCCAAACAAAATAGGAGATAACAGAGTAACAGGATTTAACAAGAAGAAAGAAAATACAACAAAGTATACAAGTAATACCCACACAATGGTACTTCAGGCTACTAGAGTCTGATTGGCTAGTGTCAGAAAAATAATTTTCCCCATATTCTGAATTTATCAAACCTCATTGTCATGATTTATGTCTGTGTCCCCCAGGCCTCATGAGTTTGCATTGTGCATTTGTGATGGTTCATTGTCTAGTGCTTGGATTGATGGTGTCAGTGCTCCACCCACATAGGGGTGGAGCCAGGATGTGATGTAATGGCAGGAAGAAGGTGTGTCTTGCTCTTTGCCAGTTCCTCTTTGCTGTTTGCAGCAGCGTTAAAGGCGGGCCAGCCATGCCCGCCTGCCTGGGAGCCAACTGAGAGTAGACTGAAACCTCCAAAAACTGTAAGAAATAAACTTTTCCTTTCCCAACTTGGGCATCAGGTATATTGTCTCAGTGATGAGTAAAAAATAACCAAGACAGAATTTGGTACCCAGGAGTGGAGTCGTTTGCTGTGACTATACCTGACCATGTTTTTCGAGAGGCTTTGGAAATGGCTTGTGGCCAGAGTTTGGAAAGGTTTGGACATGCCACCTGGATGCATAGAGCTGGAGCAGCTTAGGCTGTTCTGTAGAGGAGATTCTGGTCAGAGCTCAGGAGATCAGAAGGCTGATAGAAAGCCTGATGGTAAAGACCAGGCTTGGGAGGTTTCTGCTGGGAAGAAGGACTGTATAGGTTGTTGGGCTCCACATGATGTGTGTTATGGCTTGGCAGAAAGTTTGTCTGCATTTTGCTCCTGCCCAGAGACTTTGCCGGAGACCGAGACAAAGGGCAATGGATTGATTAATCTTGAAAAAGAAATTTAAAAAGCAATCGAAAATTGAGGCTGTGGCATGGCTATTGTTGGGGGCTTTTAGCCAGCTGTATGTTTCAAATCAAGAGCAAAGAGCCCAGCAGGATAATTTAAAATGCTGTGAATTTGGCCAGAAGGAAAATTCCAGGAAGGCTGGAATTTTTAGAGACAGAGTTGAGATTTTGATTCCTGAAGAGAAACAGAGAGATAAGAAAGATGGGCCCAGGGCATCCCAGGAAGTGGGTCCCCACCCTGTGCAGCCTCACAGCAAAGGTAAAAAAAATTGCTCAGAGGGAAAAGCTGCAGAGCGCATAGTTCCAGAATGGCGACAGCAGCTACATGAGATTCCAGAATGGCAGCAACATAGCTTTTTCTCACAATCAAGAAAACAGAGCCCTGCGATCCAGGCAACTGACCCCTACAACCAAGAGAGAGAAAAGCCTGGCTACTGCTTCAGCTAGCAGCAAACCTTGGTGGCATCCACAAGGTGCTGATTTTAGGTGCAAAGAAAATGCACAAATTCTGAGGGTAAGACGGCTTCCACCTCAATTGTAAAGGGCCTGGCTGGCCAAGCAGTGTGCCCCTGAGAGGGCAATTTGTGAAGATGTAAGTGTGAAGCCGAAGGTGCAGTGGAGACCCCAGAAGTTTGGAAAAGCCAGGAATGTGGATGATCCAAGGGAAGCTGCAAAAAGAGAACAGAGAAGATTTAAGAGAAAAGCTGTGGGAATTGAAATCGCTAGAAGTGCCCTGGGGGTGGAATCACCCAAGCCTTTTGGAGCTTGCAACCGGATTGCTTCAGATGCTGAGTGTAGAACTCTAGGACTTAATGTTTGCATGCTGGATGTTGGACTTGCTTTGTTTCCAATACTTTATATTCCCCTGTTTGTAACTTTTGGAATGGTAATGTTTATCTTGTGCCTTTGCATTTCAGAAATGTTTAGCCTTATTTCATTTGTACAGGGGGTTACAGTTAAGAGTTTACCACAGATCTTGGAGGAGTTTTGGGACTTGGACTATTCGGCAATGCTGAAACTGTTAGGACTTTGGCAACTCTTGGAGGTGGACTAGATGTCCTTTGTATAAAGGATGTACATGAGTCCTGGGAGCCAGGGGTGGAATGTCATGGTTTACGTCTGTGTCCCCCAGGCCTCATGAGTTTACACTGTGCATTTGTGATGGTTCATTGTCTAGTGCTTGGATTGATGGTGTCAGTGCTCCACCCACATAGGGGTGGAGCCAGGATGTGATGTAATGGCAGGAAGAAGGTGTGTCTTGCTCTTTGCCAGTTCCTCTTTGCTGTTTGCAGCCGTCATGAAAGGGGGGCCAGCCATGCCCACCTGCCTGGGAGCCAACTGAGTGTGGACTGAAACCTCCAAAAACTGTAAGAAATAAACCTTTCCTTTCCCAACGTGGGCATCAGGTATTTTGTCTGAGAAATGAGTAAAAAGTAACCAAGACACTCATGTACAGCCCTATATTCAGTTTTGAATGCCAAATTTTAAAAACATTAGCAACCTGGAATGTTCACTGCAGAGGAGAAACAAAATAGGAATATGTTACAGTATCAAAGGAAGTCAGGGTACCTGTTTGAAGCAATAAAGATTTGATGGAGGCTGAATAAAAATATCTTCAAGTGAACAAAGTCTGATTGCCACACAGAAGAGGAAACATGTTGTCTGAATAATTAGCACACACTTATACTGAAGTTGCATGTAGGCAGACTTTGCCTCAGTAGTAAGCAACTAAAATTTAAGTGTATATACTACCTTTCAATACGACAAGTGCCAAACCACTGAGTTTTCACCAACGGCTGGGTGATTACAGTTAAAACTGCAATACAAAAAGACTCTTATGGCCCAAGATAGATGGATATTGGGAGAAAAGTGCAGCGGCTCTCAAGAAACTCTGAGCTGCAGAGATCTTTCAGAAACTATTTATGATGGTTAACAGGAAAATAAATGACTAAATACTAAACATCTATTCTAATTGAAAGTACTAGAAGATGAAAAGGAGAATTTGCAACTTTTTAAATATTTATTCTGTTTTTATTACAATCAGTGCAAATAGTTTTACATAAGAAGAGCTACACTTCAGCCTTGTATATCTACAAATCCTGAAACAGAAATCAGACAGAGGAAATTAAGCTTACCTTTTGCCACAGAAGAAGGAATCCATGTCTCACCAGCAAGGAAATTTAAATTTTGTATTGATTTCAAACTAGAACACTGCTTACACCTAAAATTAATAGAATAAATAAATATATGAATTAATTTATTTAAACATTATAACATTTTTGCTGTTTAGGCATCTTTGCTGTTTAAGCAAGTATAGTCATAAAAAGTGAATTATTATATAGAAGAACTCTACCTGTTATACTTGTTTAAAAAGAGAGTTATCAAAAAGTAGGCTTTTTACATAAAACCAATAGTAAGATAATATAGGGATGAAAATGAACAATTTTAAATTGAAAATGAGGGACTGGATTTCACATTTCAATTGAGTAATAAATTAGGGTCTAGTGAATTTCTTAATTTGTTAAAATAAAAACATTGATTTCTAAGAGTTTTTGATTATATGGTTTATGAATATTATCTAATAATCAAAACAGTATCGAGAAACGTAACTATTAGGAGAAAATACAGTCAGGATTAACAAATTTTCAGTAATTAATATGCTAAATAAGCATATAATAAGAGTTTATAGGTTATACTAATACTATAGTTATCATTTGACAAGTAAATATATCTAAAACTATACAACTATTAAAGCTGCACATTCCTGAGTACACATTATTTTATTTATATGACAATATATTTGAAGAATCAGCCATCTAGTTTTTATTATGCATCACCGATGTTTGCAACATGTGATATGTGATAAGAAAATGTTCCTGGAAAATATTATTGAATAAAATTATAAAAATTTAAATTTGAAAAATTTCCTTCATTTACACATTTGGGAAAACAGAGGGTTTAACTTCATCAGATTTAAACTTCATCACCTGATTATCAAGATGGTTTTTCTCTAACAAAAAGAAGAATGAAAGATTATTATTACCTAAAAAAGAACTATGATATAAACTAAAATGAAACACTAGTAAAACAAGTATACTGATTAAAAATTATAGGTAATAGGCCAAAATCAAATAATTTATTACTTTTAAATTAGTAAAAAGTATAAAACGATATATTAGAAAAATTAAATAAATCTAACATAAAGCTGGAAAGAAAAATGTAATTTTTTAAAGAAGGGCAAAATACAGTTAAGAAATGTGGTAAATAGAAAATGACAAAAATCTAGAAATGTATACTAACTAAATATGTCAATAATTAAAAAGTATATTTAAATTCAACTAGAAAAATAACTAAAATATAGCATCTTTTATTTATAAGTAACATTAAGATGACATAAAACCTTGAAAGACATAAGAATAAGATACCACACAATTATCATCATACAAACAAACACAGGCTCAAAAACAAGAAAAATATTAGTAAAAGTAAAGTTCAAGACAGGAAGTCACAATTAGGAATTCTGCCTTTATTTTTTAATTTTTTTTTGGCACCAGGAAGTGAACTCTCAACCTCACGTTTACCAAGCAGGCACTTATGCCGTCGAGCTAAAATCTCGGCCCAGGAATTCTGCCTTTAAATAAGATATACAGAACAATGAATTCACCAAAAGACAAGCAGTTCTGAACCTAAATGCACCAAAACGAATTTCAAAATACATAAAGCAAATGACAGAATAAAAGATTCCAAGCACAAAATCATCACTTATTTTTATTTACACATATTTCTTTAAGCAAGTGACTAATCACAAAAGAAACAGAAGATTTCATTGTGATTCACATGACTAGTCTAACAGCCTCTGTAAAAATTCCTATCTCAACTATTTTAGAATATATATTCCTTTTGTACAGACACGCAAGACACACAGATGTGAAAATGCACATTCCAGAAAAGCACAGTTGAATAAATCTCAAAGGATCATTTTGAGATGCTGCATAGTAATCTGCTAAAATGCAATCTAACTAAAGTAAAAATAAAACATAGTACCCAAAATACACACATGAAAAATTCTGAATACATATGTGAATGACTCATGGGTCAAAAAGGAATTATGAAACATTTAGAACTGAATGGTAGGAAAATGTACTAAACCTTGGAATAAAGCTATGGCAATATTGCTATGACAATTTTAGATTTTAAAAAAGCTAGATGCTTTGGTAAAGAAAAGGCAATGCTGTGTTTGTGGGGAAATGGCACAAAAATAATAAAAGAAACAGTATTAAATAAAATAGTTGAATTTTAAAAACAGAAAATACTATATATCAATAAATTTTAAAAATGCATAAAGTGAAGAGCTTTTAAGAAAAGTCTCAATAGTAAGATATAAAGTCTTAGAATATGTATAACCATTAAATGAACTGAACCATGAGCCTAGTTTTTTGAGACAGAGTCTCATTATGTAGTTCTGGCTAGCCTTGAACTCACTATGAACTTGGAAGCCTTAGCCTCTCAAGTGTTAGGATTACAAGTGTTTACTCTCATGCCCAGCATTTCAACAAAATTTACAGAAAAGATTTATGGTTTTAGAAAGTACTCTGGTAAACATGACTATATTAACAGTTAAAAAGCTATAAAACAAAAGGTGAAAAGGTACAGGATAAACTAGAATTATAGCTACAACTGATGAAAGACTAGTATCTCTAAGACAGCAAGAATTCTTACAATTGCTGATGTGCAAATCTGAACCAAAATAGATTAACCACAAAGAAAAGCAAGTAGATGATGTGCGCATGGAATTAATAGAACAGGATATCAATATAGTTTTTGAGTATGAATATTGCTTAAGTCTAATAATTATCTAGGAATTAAAATCTTCACGAACACTATTTTATGATCCTTAGCCTAAAAAAATTACAACTCAGACAAATCCCAAGTGTTGGTGAATTTGATAGAAAGTGAATTTTTATACACTGTTAAGGGAATCATGAATTGTTAAAACTACGAAAACAACTTTTTGTTTTTTTTCTCTCAAAAAGCAAAAATATTAATATAAAAATATTACTTTATGATTTAATAGTTTCAATTCCAGGTAAATACTGTGGGAGGAACTTTCAAACACTTTTGACAATGACATTAATTTATATCATGCCATAGTGCTTATAGGTAAACATACAAATGAAACAAACTTTCAGGAGTAACACTGAACTTTCTTAAGTAAAATATTCTGTATTACCCATTTTTTCTTGTACCATTTCATAATATAACAACATTGTGACACTGAAAAAAAATAGCGGCCCACTAAACTGACTTTATTATAAAGGAAGTACATAAATAAACAAATTATAGTCCTTTATCATTGTCATCTGTAAATGAAAGAAATTGAAATAATGGATTTGTTCATAAGAAAATGGATTAAAATTATGAGTAATTCATAAAATATCTTGTAGGTATCAAATTAATCTAAATCTAGATGTATCAATATACATTTTGAAAGAAACATTGAATGAAAAGGGAAAATTGCAAAAGAATTATGAGTTTATATAAAATTAGAAAACAAAACAATATGCTATGCTGCTTATGAATTCATATAATAGAAGCACAAAGACACTGATAAGAAGGGTCAACTTTGTGTTTTAGAGGTAGTTAATTCTGAGAATAAAGTGCTAGCAACGAGATGGTATAAAGATATGTTTCTTTTTTGCAAAATTCAATTTCTTAAACATAGAGGTCTGGAAATGTTAAAATATTAACATTTGTTAAATGTAAGCAGTGGATACATTAATTGTATGATGCTATTTTTGATACTTTTGTGTAAGTTAAAATTATTTCATAATTAAAAAGAAAAATTGATTAAGATATGTTAGCTTTTGTGATAAAATACCAGCAAATCAAAACGTATATTAAAAAAAGAAATACAAAATTTATGTCTCAGTTCATAATGAAACTGGTAAAAAGATTAATAACCTTAAAAGAACTTTTCCTTAACAAATTGTAGAAAATGAGTTAAGTTACATTTTGGAATTTATAATTAATATTTTCCTTTTTGCTTTAGACCAGCAAGGTATACTATCCTAGGAAAGTAAGGCAGAAAGAAGATAGAGAAAGCAGAAATAGTAAGACAGTGAAAGACTGAAGATGAGGGAGTTGTTTTTTTAAACGTTAGTGAATTTTTCCAAAGAAACAAACAGAATTGCTAGGTTTTTATTTTTAATTAATTGGTGGTTAAATCTCAAAGAAGATAACTCTGAAGTCATGAGCCCAAAGATATAAAGACACCAGGCATGCCAGAGCAAAAACAGTGATAAACCCAGGGATTCTACTTGGTGGAATATTAGTTCCACTTTTGACCAAAGCTTTTTGATGTGCTATATATGGACAGAACCCACAGCAATATCCACCTAAGGATTCTTAGAGGTCACAGTCAAGGAGACATAGTAATTGCAGTAAGTAATTTTCAATGTAAATTAAAATTTATACATTTTTATGCCTGAGAATTGCTACAAATGTAGGAGTAGGAAAAGGAGAGGGTTAGATAGGATGATATGATGTATCCATCTGTTACGGTTCATACTCAGATGTTCCCCTAAACCTTCAAGTGCTCCTAGATGGGGACTGGGGGTGATTGGATTACAGGGGTGTGTACTCACCAGTGGATTAGTTCGCTCATGAGTTTAAGCTAAATATGATGTTGGGAGGTAAATAATTGTTGGAAAAAGCAAGTCACTGGGCTCAGATTGGCTCCTTTCCTCCTCCTTGGTCACACTCTGCTTTCCGTCACCATGCCATGAACAAGCCTACTCTGCCATGCCACCCTACCTTGAAGCCAGTTAACTATGGACTGATACCTCTATGAACTCTTTGAGCTGAAATAAACATTTCCTATTTTAACTTATGGGTGTTGAGATTTTTTTTCCCAGTGATGAGAGAAGCAACTAAGACACCATCCTATAAGCCAAGTTTTTTTCAAAGCAGACCCCTTCTAGAGGGATTGTTTTATCAAGCAGAAGATGAAAATTTTTTGTACCCCTTTCTGTTCTTTCTACATCTAAAATCTCTTTGTAGGTCATGTTCTAATTTTCAGTGGCAGAAAATCTATAATTTAGTAAGTCAGAAATTCTAGAACTTAATTACTTGTTACTAGGTTTGCAGTTCGGAATTTAGCATCCAAAGTCTTGTCATGCAAGAAAACAAGTATCAGTCTATTTGAGGAACAAAATGATGGTAGTCTTATGTCTCACTCATAGTGTAAATGTGTATGTGATTATCAAAATAACAGATATATATCAGAGAAATGTAGTATAGTCGGTGTTACATCATTATAAACCCATGGTAAATTTAAGATACCTTAAATCAAAATGCATTCAATACACATAGCCCACAAAACATAATATAGCTCAGTAACACAATATACTATAGAACATTAACTCTTTACCCTCATGAGCCCTGGATCACTTAAGAATTTTGGCTTCTTTCTCATAGGAGGAGTATTATACCTCATATCACTAGGCCAGGAAAAGATCAAAAGTCAAAGCATGGTTTCTATAGAATGTGTATCATTTTTGTATCACTGTGACATCAAAAAGTCATAAATCCCATTGTTATAAGTTGGGAGCTGCCTGTACATGTAAGTAGTATTCAATAAATATGATACTATTTTATCTAACATAGTAATCAGTTGGATAAAATGTTAAACATACAGTTTTAATTCTAAAAAATCCCCAAAGTGAAAACATACCCATAGTGATGTAGTCTTCCTTGTATAAGGAATGGTACTGAAAGGTCTAGGAGCTCCAGGTCTTCAGGGCCAGATTTTACAGGAATTATACTGTGAAACTCACTTGAAAGTTTGTAGATTTCACCAAGTGTACCCCCTATGAAAAAAAACAAAACAAAACAAAAAAAAACAAATTCAAGTAGCAAATTTGATGTAGGTAAAATAGAGTACCTATACAGTACACCTGAGATATGGTAATTACTAACGAGATTGATAGATAAAAATAACAAAAGATATAAGCACAGAGATTCAATACACTGATTTTGAAAAATATTGATTTTTAAATTCAAGATACAACACATTAATTAAACAAATCACTGAACAAAAATTTCAAGGCTTGAATAAAATATAAAGTTTGTAAAATCTTAACCATTTCCTTAAATTTAAATAAACTGCTGCCAGGAACACTTTGATTAGAGTAACCAAAAGAGAATAAAATTAAAAGGCAAAGTATAGTGAGATTTTGACTATTAAATTTGCTTTACTGCTAATGCCAAAATAAATTAGGTTTTGACAATGTAATAAATCTTTTAAAGTTTTAGGTTTACATTAAAAACATACAAAGAACACTTCATGTTAATATATATTCATTTGTAGTGTTATTACTCTTGGGAAAGCTTGAACATTCTCCTAAATCTATGATAGAGGAAGCATTAAAATAACCAAGTCAGCTAATAAACAGCATCCCCAAAGGTGTTCCCTTATTAGAAAGTTTGTATGTCTCATTACACTATCACAAACAGCTTCTTTATTGTCCTAAAAACCCTGTACTCTCCCTATTCACCTCTCCTTATCATCTAACATCTGCAACCATATATCTTTTTATTTTCAACAGTTTTAGCTTTCTAAAATGTCACATAGTAGGAATTATTCAGTAGTTAGCCTTTTTAAATTGGCTACTTTCAATTTAATAATATAAATTTAAGTTTTTATCATGTCTTTTCATGACTTTGTTATCCACTTTATAGTGCTGAATATTCAATTGTCTGGATAAATCATAGTTTTTCTGGTGATGTACAAAAGGGCATCTCGTATGCTTTCATGTTTTGGTAATTATATGAATAAAGCTGCTGTAAATATATATCTTTATTCAGATATGGACATGCATTTTTACCTTTTTTCGTGAAAAATATAAAGGAACATGGTTCCTGAACCATATGGAAGAGCATGGCTAACTTTACAAAAACTCCAGATCTGTACCATTCTGCATTCCCATTAGCAATGACTTGACAGTTTCTGTTTTGACCAACATTTGGTGTTGTCAGGGTTTTGGATATCAGCTTTTGTAATAGGCATGTAGTAGTATCTCTCATTATTTTACTTTGCCATCCTCTATTGACACCTAATTACCACCTTTTAAAATCCTTCATTATCATTTGTATGTTGACTCTGGTGAGGTGCCTGTTTAGATCTGTCGCCTGTGTTTTTTTTTGTTTTGTTTTGTTTTGTTTTAATTGGGTTGTATGTTTTCTAACTGTTGAATTTGAAGAGTTTTCTGTATATGCTGCATAAAAGCAACTTATATGCTACTTTTCTTGCAAATACTTTCTCTCAGACAGTGGCTTGTCATCACATTTCCTTAACAGCTGTACTACTCAGAGCAGAAATTTCTGATTTTAACAAAATCTAGTTTATGAATTATTTCTTTGATGGATTATGCCCTGATGCTAAATCTTAAAGCACTGCGATAGCCAAGATCATTCAGATTTTCATGGATACTGTATTACAGGATGTGGGAAACCCTGCAATTGGCCATCATCTTATGTTAAAAAGACAACAGACATCTTAATGTTAAGTTTCTATTTAGTAGTTAAGTTTCTATCTTTCCTCACCCAGCCTGTCACATCTCCCTATGGTAGGCCCCTACAGGGAACATGCTAATGAGCCTAATTTATGGGCCCTTGCACAGGATACTCAAATTACCCTATAGCACGCCCCCCCAGCCCGCCTCATTAAAACTTCCTGCTGTTACTAAATTACCTGCTGACGTGTCAGAACCCAGCCCCTTCCCCAATACACTATATATTTGTAACTTTTTCCTTGAATAAACGAGACTTGATTAGACTCCTGTCTTGTCTCTATTCTTTGTGTCTCTTGTCCCCTCTCATCCCCACTCTCCCTCTAGGGTCTCCATGGACTTATCCGCAGGCCGAGACAATAGGAGTTTCATGTAAATTTTCAATTGATTTTCATTAAGAGTTCTGTAACGTAAGTTGTTACTCTAGATGTACTGATTTAAAATATTTACTGAGAATTAGGTATATAGTATATGCAGATTAAAGTAAATATGTATCCTGCACTTATGGAATTACAATTGAAACAAAATTCTTTTGTTTTATATTTGTTTTATAAAACAAATATAAAACAAAAGAAGTGTGACAGCTGGTAGTTTATAAAATGTGTACTAAGAACACAGAGTAGCAGAATCATTTACATCTGCCTTGTAGGTCAGAAAAGTACTTGTAAACATACATATTTAATGCATATTTGACATGAATTACTAAATAAAGAGAATTACTGAATTTACTTCTGAAGCATTACTACATCTTCTAAGGAAGAGAACAGCAATGGAACAAAAAACAGGCGCAGGTAAATCTACTGGGTTTAGGAAAGTGATAACAAAATGTTGTCTAGAGGGAAGGAAAAGAATGGACAAGACTGCAAGCTTATTTAAGGACAGAACCTGTGCTAAGGAGATTTCCTTTCTCAAACGTGCTACGGACCCCGAAGGACAGCTTGGCTGCTACACAGAATTCTGGTAAAGGAAGTAGAACAGAACAGGCCCCCTAAGGCCTACCTGACATAGTTGTAATTGGTATTGTGAGGAAAGCTCCTGTAGAATCTAAGAGAATCACCATGTATTCCATATTTTAAGGGTATACACAGTCTTATTCTTTCTAGGAGGCACTCTATGTTTTTCTTTTTCCTTTTATATTTATCTCCTAATACAGATTAAAATATTGCTTCGAAAATAAGATACTACCTTTCATCTACCAAGGTGGTTAAGTGTGACAGTTAATTTTATATTTTATGACTGGGCTATTGGGTGTGCTTTCCTTTTTTCTTTTGTACCTGAAATCAAACTCAGGGCCTGAAAATAGTCAAGAAGGTGCTGTGCCACTGAGCTATGTGCTGGGCCCTGGGCCGTGGGGTATCCACATACCTATCTGATAAAACATTATTCTGAGCCCGTCTGTCAGCATTCTTTTGAATGAGACAAAGGAAGAATGAGCAAGGTAGGCTGCCCTCCCTAAAGTTATTGGGTCACATCCAATCAATGGCATATCTATCATAAAAGCCAGTCCTCTGTGTGAGGCAGAATCCCTCCTGCCTGACTGCACCTGATCTGGACATCAGTTCTCTCCGGGTCTCTGGCTAGCCAGTTTTTAGACTAATTATACCACTGAATTGTCAGGGTCGCCAGAGTGCCAAATCAGCCTGCCTATCTCGGGAATTATCAGCTTCTATTATCATGTGATCCAAAAGAATGAAAAGAAATTTCATTCTTTTAAAATTTTAGTAATAAATCTGTTCTACTGGCTCTCTCTTCTTAAAAAAAAAAACTTGATGATCCACTAAGTTTTTAAAAATGCTATAATATGTTGGTAAAGGTAGGGAAATAAGAACTTTTAGAATCTGCTAAAAGTGTGTTTACACTAGAATAATTTTACTCAAATATAATACAGCAACATTTGATGTGATGACTAAATTAACACAGAGTAGTTTCTGACATGCTCATTTAAAGAAAAGGCACATGAAAATGATACCACTGTTTAAGACACCGATCATATGTATTGATATATATATGTGTGTGTGTGTGTGTGTGTGTGTGATTATGTATTCTATGAATAAAAATGTCAGCAATAAAAACAATACAAAAGATAAGCTCATTTATGAAATGAAAGCAAGTATTTGTCTGATACACATTAACATTTTTTTAATTAAGAAAGTTACATAGGAGGAAAAGTTTGAGTAAAAAATATTAAAACTTCAAATTTGTCCTAAGAAAAATGTGTGACATATGTATGTGTGAATATATTAGATGAAAATTAGAAAAAATAGAAACAAAAAAAGAATACATAATCAAATTTCATTCTTTTAAAATTTGTCAAGTAATCTTGTTTGGATAGTCTCTTTCTTGATTTAGATTTCAATATGACTTTCATCCTGGTTCTATGAAACAACAGTGACATCCAGAGGCCAAGACAATAGCAGCTGTACGTAAGCAATCATCACCTCTATTTTTAATAAACATGGACACAACAAGATTATATGCAGAGATCCAAAAATGTGAATAAATGTAAACATTTGAATTTAATGTATAAATTAAAAACATAATTCAGATAAATACGTATGTGTATATATTTGAATATTCACATATTCCACTTTATGAAAATTTTTTATATGCATTAGGTCACCTATAAAAATAAACTATACAGCAATATATTCGAAAAATGTGAAAAACAGAATTCTAAAAAGATGATAACTTAAGTATCTCACCTTCTATCAAAATTAGACATTCATTTGAAAGTGGGAGAATACCATTATGTTTTACAAAATGAATAACTACTTTTCGTCCTCCTTGATCTTCAGTGGTCCAGCACTCTGAATCATATAAGGGTGTATTTTGTAATCTGGTGTCTGGGGTTTTAGTTGCTCCGTCTCTTAAAATTGCATCCAAATTGTTCTCATGTGGAACTTCTTGCCTAAAGTCATTGACATGACATAATACACAATGAATTCCATGTAATATAGAAAATTCCAATTTAGTAAATTATCCAATTTAGAAATATCTGTTATTTTACTTTTTATAAACTAAGGAGATACTTTTGCAAATTCTCTGTAACTAATGAAATTTATCTATTGTAGTTTTTAAGCAGGAAAAAGTATTTCCAACAAGGTTGCTGCATCATTTAATGAGAACACTCAAATACTTAGGATTATTTTCTAAGAAGGCATTTTTGTGACAAGGAAGAAAGTCCCCTCATAAATATTCATACTTCACCATTCCGCATTTGTACTTATTAGATTTACTAACTGAAATTTCAGATCTGAACATACTGTTTTTATTATTATTAAGAATGAATTTATTATTACTAAGATTTATTTATTATTAATTATAATAATAATTTATTATTACTACTACTATTATTAATTTATCATTACTATTATTAATTTATTATTACTATTATTAATTTATTAATTTATTATTACTATAATAATAATAATAATTTATTATTACTAAGATTTACTAAGAATTTAATACTTTTAAAATGTTACCAATCTTCTAAATTATTATACACATGTCACAATTTATTCATTTTTAGGACTTAACACTTTACATATGTAGGTAAATACACAAATACTGTAATATGAAATGAAAACTTCAGTTTTACTTTGAAAAATACTTACAGCGAATGACATTTAGGACAATAAAGTTTAACAGACTGAAAAAGTCTTTTGGGCTTATATGATCTTAGTTTTGCCCGGATTCGGTATTGCTGCGGAGCTTTTTGTTTCAGAACGGCACATAATGGTGTCTTCTTCAAATACTCATGGTCAGTAAGTACTGCAAAGAATTTTTATATTAAATTAGAATAATGTCTACAAGTTTTAAGTATAATCATGACTCATCCCTGTTAACGAAATATATACTACAAATTCTAATTAAGTCCTACTAACTGTTAATTCCACAAAAGCAAAGGTTACATAAGCAAGGCTCACAAATACAAGGTGATGCACACAGTGGGTACCCAACAAATCTACTGAGTACAAGTTGAATAATTTGGGCAAGAAAGAATTAACTGCCTAATTAATGTACAATAAGTATTTTTATATGTGGTGAATAGATATATTTCCTGGCTAACTCAGGGAGTACAGCAAGGTTACTCTCACCAAGTAAACATATGGGTTACTCAAGAAGTATTTTCAAATATTCACTTAGATGCTGATCTCTGAGATATGTCTGTTATGTGCCAGCCTAAATTCTAACCACAATGTGTCCAAAAGAATATAAGAAAATATACTTGCTAACTATTTACCAGCTGACCTATTCTCCCTGATAGTTCAAATGACAGACTTTATTAACTATACATATAATAAACAAACTTTAGAGTGGAATGGGACATTCAGGGTAACCCTAACTGTCATGGTGATGGTACTATAGTATGTGGAGGAAGAAGACTTTTGGGGGAGGAAGCAAAAGAGTTAAAAAGAGGAAACACAGAAGGGGAGAGTGAGAAAGAAGGGGAGGAATTAAACCCCCATCAAAAATACAAGTCAGATAAAAGCACTAAAGGCAACTACTTGGCAAGCAGTTTAGAAGTTTTATTTTGTAGTGGTCACTTATTACTCAGGTTAGTACAAAATCACTGGTAACTTTTAGCTTAAAGTAAGAAACCTACTTTGCTCGTGTAACACTCTTACCATACACAAACTTATGAACCTAAAGTGACCAGGCTGATTCCTTTCTATACCTGGTTTTAATCTAACTACTGAATAAATTTTCCTTTAAGGTAGCAAGTACTCAAGAATTTACAATGCAATTGTAAGAAGAAAATTCTTTTCTTTCCTTTTTTTTTAAATCAAGAGTGCCACATCAGACCCTGTCTGTTTTGTGTAGAATGCAGCACTTGTTTCAACTCAGATTTTAAGATGACCTTTTTACCTCTTATTTTAAAATACTTTCAAACTTACAGAAAAATTGTAAGAATAATAAAAGTAACTCGTACACCTTACCAAGACATGCCAATTGTTAAATTCTGGCACATTTACTCTCAAACCTGGGTGTAGATTTCTCCATACATATCTTTATTATTGAATTACTTAAGAAGCATATTTTCAGACATCGGAGCCCCCTTTTCTTGAGATACTTCACTGTATTTCACAATACAACACATTTCATTGAAATAATTACAATATAATTTTCAATACAAATGTTGATTTAATACTATCATCAGATCAAGAGATATTATTCACATTACAGTTGTCTCAAAATGTTGCTTTTAGCATTTTATTTTTGGATCGGGATCCAACCCTAAACCACAGGTAACATTTACCTTTCATGTCTGTTTGAACTTCATTAACATAGAATGTTTTTTCTTTTTGTTCATATTGTTTGTTTGGTTTTTCTACAACATTGATTTAAGGAGTGTAGGTCATTTATCTTGAACAAACATCAAGCTGGGTGAATGTGTTGTTTCTCCATGTTCAGATTCAAGACATCTATTTTTGGCAAGAGGACTGCAAACATGACCCTGTATGCTTCACAGGACATCACATCAAAAGGCACACATCAGTGCTTCTACTAATGTAGATGGTTAAGGTGGTATCTAACAGCTTTTGTTATTATAAACTCTTTTTCCCCAAGTACTAGGGAGTGAGCTAGGGCCTTCACACAGTTACATCCCTTGCCCTTGTTTTTTTATTTTGAGACAAAGTTACATTAAATTTCTAAGTTTCCCAGGCTAGGCTCAAACTTGCCATCCTCCTGCCTCAGCCTATAGAGTGCTGGGATTCCAAACATGCACCCAAACACCATGATTCTACTTTAAAATGTCTGTTTCCTGCCTTGTAGTTAGTTAGGAGGTACTTGGAAAATGTAAATATCCTATTCTTCATCAAAGACTTAGGATACCAACAGGATAGGCCCCACTGATTCACAACTAAATCAATAATTATGATGATATCAATAGATGATCCATAGATTCACAACCAAATTAAATTAAATACTATCATGGTTGCAAAATGATGATATTGGTCTAATTTCATACACATGGTTACTTTCATACATTAGTTGTCATTCTAATAAGGAAGTTTCCCATTGAACCTAATTAATTTGCTTTTATTTTTAACATGAACTCATATATTCCTATTTTATTCAATAAGTTCTAATCTGTCACTAATATTATTTATTTTGATGCTCAAATGGTCTCAAACTTAATACATTCTATTATTAACTGTGAATTTCCTTACTTTCTGAATGTTACAGATTCATTTTGCAATTCTGCTGTCATAGTCTAAGAATCTGCTATTTCCCCAAGAAATCCTAGGGTGTTATTTGTAAAGCAAGAACTGTGAACCAAGTAGGCTTATTGTTATTAGAGTGGGATTGGGTCTGTGTATTGGCACTGTCATATACAGGTAGGGATATGCACATAGGGGTTTATACTATACATACCTACATATCTGCTCTTACATGTGTATTGATGTGTATGTGTGAATATATAAATATACACATGGGCACATAGTAACTTTAGTTCTAACAGAGGTTTTCATTTACTTTTCTTTCACCTTATACTTACATCTCTTTTGCCAATGTGAAAAACTCACATTGTTACAGTAGTATAATTATTTTAATTAGCTTGTGCTTAAAAATATTTTTCTGAAAAAATGCTTTTAGCTGAAGTAACAATCACTGCTCAGAGTTCTGAGGTGCACACCATTCAATGCATAGTATGAACTGGTTATAAACAATATCATAAGAGTATTTTATATACCCCAACTAAAGATAAGCCCCAAAATACTGTTAAATAGTACAATGCTAATTTTTATAAATCTTAGAGGCACATAACTTGGAGCATGTGTGCAGAACAGACACCTGTATGGGTGTACTTAAGCCAGTACAGGATGAAAGCCAGTGCAGGATGACATAGAGTAATATAAACTAAATGCAGACATATTTTTGCCCTCCTGGGATTAGTTGTTAAGTGTAAAGCACAAACCTTAATAAGTTTATTACTGTACTACGTCTTATCTCAAAAATGATATATGGCCTTACCTGTAGCTGACAGTTGTTGACATCTTTCTACCTCATATAGTGATATTGACCCAGAGCCTAGAGGAAAAAGAAAAAAAAAAAATACACTGTTTTAAAGTCTACCAAAAATTTAACATGGTACTGAGAATGATAAAACACTGAAGAAACCAGATAAAATCTAAATAAACATTGAGATACATGCTATCTTCATGAGTTGGAAGGCCTAACATTGTTAATATGTTCCCCAAAATTAATCTGTTCTGTCATAAAATCATAAGCAAAATAGCATAGGCATTATTACAGAAACCGGCATGTATATTTTATCACATAAGTAAAAATACAAAGAATCTAGAATACTGATAAAAATCTTGAAAAAGAACACCCCAGGAAGACATTACATGACTTACTGTAAAACTACAGTGATCAAAACAATATAGTACTGGTAAAAAGGCTGATTCATAAATCAACAGATTTAAGTAGAGATTCCAGAAATAATCTGGCACTTCATATAGTCTTTTGGTTTCTGAACACAGGCATACAGACAATTCACAAGGAAAACGAACTTCTTTTCAAGTTCTGTAGTTACTGGAAATTAGGTTGAGAAACTGCATAATTTACACTACACTAATCAGTAACAAATGGGAAAACACAGAAAAAAAACATTATTTATATCTACTTGACATTTGAAAAGACACCAAAACAATCTACCTATATCTATGTATCTATCGATCCATCCAGCTTTTATATAGTGCTACAAAACTGGAAATTCTTATCTAAAAGAAAAATATCTTAAAAAAATAGAAAAATTCTACTTTATATTATGTCATGAAACATTAAAAGAAAATAAACTACTGATGTATACAAAAGTACAGATCAATATCAGAAATATAGTCTGTACAAAAGAGAATATATGATTCCATTTATTTGAAATTATGAAACAAGAAAACCTCAAGGGTTCTAGATTACACAAGTTAACGTATTGGCCGAAAGCCATGGAGTGATACATAATATGTAACTTAGTGGTCATTTTACTGCATGTAATTTCACTGTACTTAATTACAGCCATACTATTTAGGAGATGTACTAACATCTTCAACATTTTTGAAATGCAATACAAAGTAATATGGGTTGATGAATGAAAAGAGAAATACAGAGACGGATTTATAAGAAGCTAAACAAAAAGAAAAATCTGAACTGGAGAATCTAGGTGATGCGTATTAGTGTTAAGTGAGCAACTGCTTTTACCTTTTCTGCATGTTTCAACCTTATAATGCTGCAAAAATATACTGTGAATGAACTGAATGCAGAAGAGGAAGCATACTAAGCTTATTAAAAGCAATATAATGACTCAAAGAACAGCGGAATTTTACCTAAGAAAGTAAAAGAGGAAATCAATCATAGCAAAAATTTGCTTTGTAACTTACAAAGTGAAGAATTTAAAACTTAAAAAAAGTGTGTTTTCCATCTGTTTTAGCTTATATTCTATTAAGTATACTAATATATTATTTATATAATTATTTTATGAGATATTATACACACAATGCATGCATCATTAGTTCTTCAGTATCCAGTCACAAATGGTATAAGAGCCCAAAGTAAGAGAACTTGAAAGGAAATCTCAAGCCAAACTAATATGGTACAATTTCAATGAATCTGACTTATTAATAACTATCAACCAATCATGAGGTAGAATCAATATGAAAAGGTAAAGAGTCTAACATAAAATTAGATAAAGGTTTATAGCACATAATTCAAACCAAAAAGAATAAAAATGCTATTAAACATGTAAGATTTTCAAATGTCCAAGTAATACGGAAAATTTGATAAGAAAATACAGTTTAACTGTCAAAAATCTCAAAGTTACACACATTGGTAATCTTGAATTTTACAAGGGTGTCAGTAAAGGTTAATTTACTCTGCTATTCAGAAATAAATTCCTATGGCCTTTTGTTGAAATAATCTGAAAAACACCTATTGAAAGAAAATATATGCCTATACTTGCTACATCAACCCTACTTCTGAGGTTTTTTTAGAAAAATAAAAGCACGGAAATATACAGGTCCAATGATTATTAAAATATTACTCATAAAAGGAACATACTGCTAACAACCTAAATGGTTATTAGTTGGACAATGTCTGAATAATGGTTTGCCTATATTACAAAATATTAAGAAATTTTTTTTTTTTTTTTTAATTTGAGACAGGGTCTTAGTATATAAGTAGTGCAGGCTGGCCTTCAACTCACAATGTAGCTCAGGATGGCCTCTAACTCACGGCAATCTTCTTGCCTCAGCCTCCTGAGTGCTGAGATTACAGGCATGCACCACCATGCCCGGCAAGGAAATATTAAAATCAGGAGTTTGGGCCATATCAATCAGCCTAGAAAGAGGCTTATAATATATTATTAAGGAAAACAACTATTATAATATAATTCCATTTTGTTAAAGAGGAAAAATGTATTTCTATATTTATAGATTATGTCTATAGAAACATGAAGATTTTGAATCACCTTAAACAATTTACCTCACTTCCAAGAATAAGCTGGAGAGTAATATAGGCATAGAGAAAGCTGCTCCATTTGATATAAATTATGACATGGATTATTTTGCAATTTAATGATAAAATAATATTTTTAAAAGGAGAAAACAAATTTTGGAAAACATAATTACAAATTACCATGTCTGGAAATGTCTATTAATTGGACTAAGTTGCTATTCTAGTAGTAATACAAGTCCACATGTTCTATCATCAAGCTATTGTGAAGTGGGAACAGTTTCATGATAGAATGAAGAAATAAATTAAAAATATATATGAAAAGTACCTATATCTGAATTTGACTTGCTTTGTCATCAGTTAGCAGCTAAGTAACCATGGGCAATGAAATGATGCCCATGACTCAAAGTCTGTTTCCTTGCAGTAAAAGGAAGAAAAATAATACATCTTGGGGCTCGGGATTTAACTCAGCGGCATAAGTACCTGCCTTGAAAACAGGTGGTCGTGAGTTCGCTCCTCGGTACCGATTAAAAAAAAAAAAAAAAAACCAGACAAAAAAATAATACATGTTATTGGGACTGTTATTAGAATTAATAGCACATGTAGCCATTTACTGAGTGAGACACATGTTAATTTTTGTGTTTATATTACTGCTATTAGAGAAAAAACCCTAAAAAATAGTTTTTTGGATCACAGAAATGCACAAGTTAAATTGTAAAAAAAAATGAGATTAAAAACATACTTAGATTTAAGGATTCAGAATGTGCAATGAGATTTTAAAATAAGTGTAAAAAGGAAAAAACATTGCAAATTGAGAGTTTTAAAGTTTAGATTTGAATTTCCACTCAAATAAAAATGTATACATGGCACTGTTTGCTAATATCTTTCAATTAGATAGTTTATTAATTCAATAGCTGGGAACTATGTGTCCCTCTCAGCAGTATATGAGTAAATAATACCTGCAATGTTTGAAATATCATGGCACAGACTTTCTCTCTCTTAGAAGCTAATAGAATAGTTATCTAGGATATTAAGAGATTTTTTATGAATATATATGCATTCTATATAATTATAAATGAAGTAAAACTATCATTTTAATTTGAAAATGCAATACATATTTAGAGAGGTACCATGCTCACTTTTGCATAAAATACAGATAAATATTTAAGGCTTTTCTTTACAACATATAGACATAAATTAAAATAGTAAGATTGAAGAAGACATTCAAAAAAGAATTATGCTGAGAAAGACATTTTATTTAGCAGGAACTATACATTCAATTATAGAAACTGTCTTTACTTGAAAGGCTGAGATAGCTGTCCTCCTGGTCTGACTGGCAGGTAACATCTGAATGCTGAGCAGCTGTCAAATCTGCAGCTTCTAAATCTCTAAAAGGGAAAGAAAACAATTTAAAATCATTCAACACTAAGTCAGTACAGTAAGTATCCCCAAATTCAGAAGTTCACTGAAATTGCTGATAAAATTTTCTGTGTATTCTTTAGTATATAATCTATAGTGTTTACCAGATTACATAATAGTTCCAAGGCCCTTATGTTAAAGACTTGAGGTTAAAAGCATACAAGACAATAAAATATTGCAAATAAGAATAAGCTGTGATTTTAATGGGTGAAATTCTGAGTCAGAACAATCTCACAGTAGAAACAAGAAATGAAGTACTCTGTTGCTAAATGTTGCACTGTAAGAAATCAGTAAAAGGAAGCTTCTTTAGTTATTTCATTTCAATTTATGGAAGAGTATTTTATCTGAAGATAATTCAGACACCTCAAGAAAAACAAAGTTAAATATCTAGCAAGTTTTTTTTGTTTTTGTTTTTTGAGACAAGGTCTCACTCTGTAGTTAAGGCTGGCCTTGAATTTGCAGCGATTCCCTTATTCAGTCTCCTGAGTGCTGAGATTATTGATGTGAGCTACCACACCTGTCTCAAGATTTAAGCTATTTAACTTTTAAACACATCTGAAAACTTAAAACATATTGTATAAAAGTTTAATGAAAGTGACATCTTAAAAATATTGCCATTATCTATTTAATCAGAGGCATTTTATAAAATGCTTTTTTTTTTTCATGGTAGGATTAACCATTTTTTGGAATTCAAGGTAGAATTCAAGTTTTCCAAACTTTGGCTAAAATCTAATTACCACTGTGTGTCGGCTATATTTACTGTAACAGTTGATAGAAGACTGGCATGAGTGTGTAAGATTTTAACTGTCGAAAACTGACAAACTTAACAATAGTATGGTTTCATTATGGTTATCTATTACAAAATAATGGTGGGTCAGAGATTTAGTTCATCTGTATAAGTGCCTGTCTGGCAAGCATGAGAGTTTAATCCCCAGTACAAAAACAAAACAAAACAAAACAAAACAAAACAAAACAAACAATCAGAAAAAAACACACAAAAAAAGAACAAACAAGAAAAGGAGAATGGCATAGAAAGCTACTTAGATCAAACAAGAAACTTATTACGGACCTCCAGAACACTATTATCTTGGAAATTAGCTTGGTGAATGCTTTATACAGAAATAGGTTATAAAAGCTTACTTCTTCAGTAGATTCACATCAGAATTACTTTCTGGTAACACTGTGATTCCCCTGCCATAACTGGTACCTCCATGGAGATGAAACTCTAGACTTAATGATGCCTGGATTTCAGAAGACACTGACTGTAGTTTGGTATGAAGGCTGTAGATTCTAAGAAAGCTTCCAATCTGAAAACAGACAATTCATGATTTAGAAAAAAGAAGAAAAGAACAAATTTCTGATATTTGAAATTTACAACCGGGCTGGGGATTTAGCTCAGCGGCATAAGCACCTGCCTTGTAAGCAGGTGGTCGTGAGTTTGATCCCTGGTACTGATAAAAAGTTAAAAAAAAAAAAAAAAAAGAAAGAAATTTACAAGCAATATGGAGCAACGGCCAATTAGGGACACTATCAGAAAAAGATACTAGGATACACCCGTGTGACTGAACAGCAGCTGCAATGATTCTATATCAAAATCAAAACACATGTGTATGTGCACATGCACACACTTATACATACATGCACAGACTGTGAAACACTGTCCAATTTCAGACATATTAAAATGTGCAAATAGCCTTGTCATAGCATAAATTAAATATAGCTGTTGAGAAACCCAATTACTCAAGTGAAATCTAATATTAACTTCTTATAGTTTAAAGTATGGTTAATGAAATATACTCACTAACATACTATAATACAAAGCAAAAAACTTAAATGAATAACTTACCAAAATTATAAATATCTTACAAGTTCATGAAGGAAGCATTAAAAAATTAAAGTACTGAAGCATTTATAGGATGGCACCACACCTGTAATCCCAGCACTGAGAGTGGCTGAGACAGGAAGATCACAAACCCAACTCCTACTTTGACAAACAGCAAGATCATGTCTCCAAATCCAAACATGGAAGAATGACAGTCTCTTTAATAAATGATGTTGGAAAAACTGGCTCTCCATATGCCAAAAACTAAAACTAGACCCATGTCTATCACCATGTACTAAATTAAAATCTAAATGGATCAAAGATCGGAATATTAAAACAGAAACACTAAATCTATTGGAAGACAAATTGGGTGAAAACCGTGAAGAAATAAGGGTAAGTAGAGAATTCATGAACAAGAATCAAACTGCACAGGAAATACTTCCCAGAATCAATAACTGGGATTACATCTTATTAAACAGTTTCTGCATGTCAAAAGAAGTCTCCAGCATAGTGAAAAGAAAACCCACAAACTGGGAAAAAATTTTAGTGAACTGTCCCTCAGACCAAGGACTTCTATCTAAAATATGTAAAGAATTTAAAAAAATCAAACCCTCAAAATTCAAAGATCCAATCCAAAAATGGGATGAATACACAGTTCTCAGATGAAGAAATACAAATGGCAAATAAATACATGAAAAAAATGTTCATCATCATTACTCATTAGAGAAATGCAAATTAAAACCACACTGAGATTCCATCTCACTCTTGAAAGAATGGCCAGGATCAAGAAAACCACCAACAACAAATGCTGGAGAGCCTGTGGGGAAAAGGAACACTCTTCCACTATTGGTGGGAGTGTAGACTGGTGCAACCATTGTGGAGGTCAGTCTAGAGATTTCTCAAAAAGTTGGGATTGGAAGTCCCATTTGTTTCAGCTATTCTACTTCTAGGCATATTCCCAGAACTGAAAAATCATACCACAGTGATAGATGTGCACCCATATTTATAGCAGCACAATTTGTAATAGCCAGATCTTGGAAACAATCTAAGTGTCAATCAACTGAGGAATAGATAAAAAAGTGGTATTTTTATACAATGGAGTACTACTCAGCTATAAAGAATGATCACATTGAGATATTCATAAATAAATGGGAGCAGCTTGAGACCATACTCATAAGTGAAATAAATCAAACTCACATGTATAAATACCGAATAGTTTCCCTAGTGTAAGAAACGGTAAGAATACATAAAAGCATATGGTAATCATGATTCCCCATTATATTGCTTTGAAGTCTTATAATGTTTTCATTCATTAATTGGAATGGTTTTATTCTGGGGTGTTTGATTTTATTGTCTGTGATGGTATGAACAGTTATTTTGAAGAAAACAAGACACTATAATAGCTAGTGCTGACTTAACATCAGCTTGTTTTGAAGTCCCATCAAGCTTTTGTTCTTCTGTCTCCATCAGTTTTATCATGTTATATCTTATTGGATTTTATTATATGTGATAATATAAACAAAAATTTTTATAGACAGGGCCATAATATAGAAACCATTGTTCATTTTCTGTTAGTTGGTTCTAAATACCCTGTAATACTTTCATCCTCTTGAATGGTTTTACACTGTCTTGTTATGTTTGATGCTATCGTATACGAAGGTATACTCAAATATTTTAAGGAAGGAAACACTATAGTTACTAGTGTTATGTCAGGTTATCTTGTGGTGAAACACTATGTTGCTTAAATTGTTCTGTTCTGACCTGTATTGTTATCCTCTTTTATCTTAATCTCCTTTATTTTTTTAAATAAAAAAAAAAGAAATAAAACTAAAAAAAAAAAAAGATTTGGTATTTTTATACAATGAAGTACTACTCAGCTATAAAAATGATCACATTGAGATATTTATAAATAAATGGACACACCCTGAGACCATACTCAGTAAGTGAAATAAATCAAACTCACATGTATAAATACCATATAGTCTCCCTAGTATAAGAAATGGTAAGAGTACATAATAGTTTATGGTAATCATGACTCCTCATTACATTGCTCTGAAGCCTTATAATGTTTACATTCATTGGTTGGGATGGTTTTATCCTGGTTTGTTTGATTTTATTATCTGTGATACCATGAACAGCTATTTTGAAGAAAACAAGACATTATAATAGCCAGTGCTGATTTAATATCATCTTACTTTGAGGTTGTACCATGCTTTTGTTCTTCTGTTTCCATTGGTTCTATCGTATTGTATCTTACTAGGTTTTATTATGTGTGATAGTATAAACAAATTTTCTATGGAAAATGAGATAATACAGTAGCCATTGTTCATTCTCTGTTATTTAGTTCTGAATGCCCTGTAATACTTTCATTTTCTTGAATGGTTTTATACTACTTTGTTATGTTTGATACTGTTGTATATGAAGTTATGCTCAACTATTTCAAAGAAAGAGACATTATGGTAGTTACTGTTAATTAAGGGTTGTCTTGTGAAATACAGTATTGCTTACATTGTTCTGTTCTGATGTCCTCTTTTGTCTTAATCTCTTTAAAATAAAAAAAAAATATGAAAGAATGACCATAAAGAAGGATAAACTTGAGTCATTTGTAGGTAAATAGTATCTACAAGTACCTAAAGACCATAATGTTAATTATAATAAATTGGATACAGAAGCTTAAATATTGCCTGGTTTCTCTTACAGTGAGAAACCTAAATAAAGGAGGAAAATACAAGGCAGAGAAGAGACACAAATGTTTTTGCAAAAGGAAAAGAGACCAAGATATGGAGGGAGGGGGGAGAGAGAAAAGGAGAATGGAATGAAAAAGAATTAAGATGTGTTATGCACATGAACCAACTCCCCAGTGGGATGGAATCAATATATACTGTAAACATGTACTAATAGAAAAATATAAATTGAAAAACAACTAGGCTGGAGCTTTAGCTCAGTGATAGAGGGTCATTCCTAGTACCACAAATTAAAAAAAAAAAAAAAAAAAAGATCACTCTAAATTAAAAAACCAGAATTAGACCAATGTTTTGAATTGAAGTTTTTAGTTTTCTAATACTAGGATGAACCCAGTGGTGCTCTACCACTGAACTACATTTCCTCCACATTGTATTATATTGTATAATATTTTACAGTATTCTATTGTATTATGAGAAAGGATTTTGCCATGAGTGTTCATCTTTTAGTTAATATTCTATAGTTCATCTCAAATGTTTTGCTAAACTGTCTAAAACCTTCCTTAATTATAGAGGATTTGGTATTTTCTTTCATTGAAGATTTCAAATGAGAGATGTAGAATGCTACTCAAATATACTGATATCTATCTAAAGGAAGAAGTAATCTAATGTTTTTATTGTTATAAAGTTTTATGCAGAAGGGGGCTGGGGATTTAGCTCAGCGGCATAAGCACCTGCCTTGCAAGCGGGCGGTCTTGAGTTCGATCTCTGGTACCAATAAAAAGAGAAAAGAAAAAAAAAGTTTTATGCACAAAAGGTCTTAACAAACTGGGATGTTTAATTCATTTGTGCAACAGTACTCCTGACACCTTGATGACTGAGAATAATTTCTCTTTCAATCCTAAAAGTTCAGGGTAGCAGAAGCAAAATCATGTGCAACAGAAAAACAATACAAAAGGGAATACAACAAAAAAGATGAGTAGCAAAGCAACCTTTCACCTCTGCTTATTGTAGAGGAAACACAGAAAAGAAAAAAAAAAGAAAGGAGAGAAGATAAATATTTTTCTGATGGTCTCCAAAGTGACAGACTGGCAGCCAACAAAAAATTTTTCTATTTTTTATCATTTTTGAAGGTTAATTTATTTTCTGGGTCCATATATACATATATATGTGTATATATATGTATATAAAATGCCAGTACAACAGTTTATAAACTCCAAAGAACTTTTAAAAAGGCCTAAACATGTGGAAAAAGAACATATATTCATAGAAAAACAGATTTGATATAATAAACATCACAATTTTAAATTCAGTACAATTTCCATCAAATTTCATACTGTCTTTCATGTAATTTGAAAAACTAATCAAAAAGTGTATATCAAAGAGAATAGCCAAATTAACTCTAAGGACAGGAGGAGTGAGTGCCTTGCACTGTTGAAATGTACATAACGTCCATAGGTATACATAGGAGTACATCCTTGTATGTGCAGAGAGAGCCTTAAGAACAAAAATAACAAAAATGAAGTACGGCAGTGATACAAAGAAGGTTCAATATGTAGACATTTAATTAAAGGTATGTTAAATACATGTGGCAAAACACTTAGAACTGTTTAAATGGTTAGGTAGGTGTTTATTATACTGTCTTCTCTACCGTTACACTAATTTTAAAAAGGTAAAGGCAAGGATAAAATCAATTTGCATGACTAGGAAATAAAGATGATAAATTGTTATAATCAGAAATTCCTTCTGGAGGCAGCATTGCATTTTTTTTAAGCCTGAATATATTATGAACTGTGCTGATGCTCAACTATAAAAAAAAAAAAAAATTGTTGCTTTGTCTTGCCAGTAATGCAACAAAATCCCAAAAATACAAGTGAAGAATGATAATACAAATTATAGTTTAAAATTTTATTAAGATGTTAATTTTAATACAGAAACATTCTCCAAAAAAGGAACAAAAAGGACAGCATGCATGGCCACTAAGAAAGCATTATTCCTATAGAAAAAAATCAAAATATTTCTCTTTCAGTTTAATACTTTCAGTTTCCTGTATGCAACTCAAAATAGCCAAACTATACCTAGTGGATTACTGAAAACCAAAATATTAATTATTACTATGTGCAAAGGTTGATTGAAAAATATACTGAAAAGACATGTTACCAAAAATAATAGTACAAATATCATGGTTTGAAGCAAGGATATGTATTTTGAGAAGGATTTATGATAATGCATGTTGTATTGTAATAAGTTTTATAAAATTTAAACATTCACTATATTTTTAATTACATCATGTGTGTTTCATAATTATTTTGAAAACTTTCAGTATGAGAACAAGGACTTAATATAACTTTAGCTTCTGTTATTTTGTGTCTGCATGTGTGTGAAAAATCTAGGAATGAAATGAAAATAGTACTGAAAAATCAAGATTTAGCAAAGAGTTAAAGGTTAAATAAATTAAATTAGGTTAAAAGGTTTAAATTAGGTTAAAAGTTAAAGGTTAAATAAATAAATTAAAATAAATTGCTGAATAGAAATTGATTGTATGTTTTGTAATTACATTAATTATTCCCTTTATTAAAAGTTTTCCAGTTCTTATGCAACACACATTGACTGGGTCTCAAATATTTTGATATAAGAATATAAATTTGTCTCAAAGTATTGATAAAAAATCATTTGTATCAAAGTCACAGATTTCCTAAAGTAATATCAATGTTAGAGGTGTCAAAAAATGTGACATCCATCTATGTTAACTAACAGTCTAATGTTATATCACAGAAAGTTACACACGCAAGTTATATCTACAAAATTCTTTAGTTTTATATTGTACTACATATAAATAATATGCTAAATTTTTAGAAAAAAACAATGTGTTGCAAATACTTTCTTAATTGTGAATGCTCATAACACCCTCTAGTGGACAGACAATAACAAAAAGGACAACAAAACAAAACAAACAAGCAAAAAAAAAATCCTGGAATTCACAGGACTCTTTCATTCAATCTTTAAGTAGCAGGTATCATTTCATCCTTACTATATGAAAAGCACTCTGCCACATTCTTTTCATGATGGAGGAAAACTGAACGAACAGGGAAACAGACCCATGGAAATCCCATTAGAAAATTTAAAAAGGTCAAAATAGGTAACTCAAGAGTGCAGAACTGTAGTGAGTCTAAGCTATAAATGGGACGTTGTTTGTCTTTTAAAGAATTCCATGTAAAAATAAAACTTTATGATTGGATTTATTATTTTTTCTTTTGAAGTAAACTGATAATGAAAATAGTACTTTCCAGTATTATATTTTGAAAATTTTTCCTTATGTGTCATGTATACACATATATACATGTGCATACATTTACAGAAGACAAAAAAAGTGTAGTTATTATCTTCCTTGGCTCTGGTTTTAGCCTAATTTATTGATTTGAGTTGTTTGAGCTTACATGTCATAAGATGTAGGGTGGAAATATTTTTTTCTTCATGAGCATGTGTTTTATAAAAGAAATGTGGGCTCCAAAATGAAGATTTATACTATTTTTCTTTCAATTATTATTTCTTTTAAGGAGGCCAAAAGATATTTGCAATTCAGAAGATTCTTTCCTTCCAATGAACAAAAGAATCAGCTCTAGAAACTGGCATTGCATAATCATGGTTGGCATCACTCAATACTTGCTGAATCTTGGGACAATTCACTTAACCTCTGAATGCTTCACTTTCTCATTTGTAAAATGGACGAATGACAGGGCTTCTTTGTAAAGTAGTACCTAATAGTTATGATGGTGTGCCTACCAAATGTTATGAACATTTATAGTACCATTATTTACTGAGGTCATTTTCAAATAAAAGATACGACAAATGGCAGAAAAAAATATTCCCTACAATCTTTGTTCCTAATTGAATAGGAACAGCTACACCTAAGTTGTGCACTTTTACCTAAAAATTCTGACCAAATTCTCAAAAACATTAAGAAAATTTCATAAACTATACAGTAACACTCATTTCTCTAATATTATCTTTATGAGAGCCAATTTAACAATTTCTTTAATAGTACAAAGTGATCATATAGTCTATCGAACTAGTTAAAAAACAATTTCACTAGTTGATGTGTCTGTAATTTTGTATCAGTACATCAACATTCCTTTACTGATTTCACAGTAAAACTGCATGAGTATAAAATATTCAGAAAAGATTCAGTTTTAAAAAACTGTCCACTTCATTATATCTTACAACAATCTATTTTGGATACATATTTTATAATTTAATTATTCCAGAAAAAATAAATTTGAAGGAAATTTATAGACTTCAAATATCACCTACAAATATAATCATTAATCACCAAAACTTATTATGACCAGCAACTGCAAAAGTAAAATGTAAAATATTATATACACTTATATATAAAAATAAAGTAGTGAACATTTATGCCACATCTCACCTTCAGGGATTTTGCCACTTGAACATGGTTATCGTAGACTACAATGTCTATTATAAGATTCTGCAGCCGACGGAGGTGATTCAAGTCACCTTCTAGAACCTGATTTTCTATTAAGACTCTCCAAGATGGAAATGGTGTCCTGGTGCCATCCCATACCTGTTACAAAGTAAGAGCAAAGATTATGGATCCTTCTGAAACAAAAGACACTGGGGTAAAAGAATCTTCTCTTAATAGATTAAAAATAACTAAATATATGCTTAAAATATCTGTTAAATATGAATTAAGAGTAATATAGAAATTTAGAAAAATGTAAAGAAAATGGTCACACTCCTATACACCTAGACAAAATATTAACATTTTGTTGACTTCATCTTTTTCTTTTGTTTGCATACAAAATAAATATATTTGAAACACATTATATTCTGCATCTCTCCCTTTAGTTTAATATTGAATTTTTTATCAGGCAATGAGTATTATTCTAAAATATGATTTTCAATATTTTAATAGTTTTATGATATAGAGATATAAATTTATTTGAGCAAACTTTATTAGATGGCTGTTTTAAAATTTTTGCTATTTTAAATAATTCAGGGGTTGGGGATATAAATCAGTGGTAGAGCACTTGGCTAACATGTACAAGGCCCAGGTTTCAATTTCCAAAACTTCAAAACAGCTAGTTAACTCAGGAATTGCCATCTTGTATCTAAATCCATTTCAGTACTCTGCTAAATTTCTTCAACTTTTAGCCTGTGAAAAATGTATTATGACTTTTATAAATTTTCACTTTAAAAAAAGAACATACATGAATACTTTATTTATACTTGATTTTAAGAATAGAAATTCATGAAAATAACAGATGCTGGAAAAGGAAAGGTATGTTAAACTGTTACATAATCCTACACTGAGACGCTGGGAACATAGGCACAGAATAAACATGCACTTGCTTATGGTACAAACCAGCCTTAATTATGCTTGGGGTTTAAGAGATGACATGCTGTTCTATAAAAGGGTATGAGAAAGGACAATGGTGTGAGATAGAAATGTCTCTGCATTTAAGAAAAAGCTTGCATCAACAAGAGCAAATAGCTATTTGAACGAGAAGCACTAGATTTTTATAGAAAAGTTCAGATCAGTGAGAGACCAATGTCAGGTCACAGGGTAAGTATAATCCTGGTAGAGCAAGATGTTTTAATTATGTTATGATCAGTAATGCTTGTCACAAACATTTCTCTCCATTTAGCCTTTATCCTTTGAATACAGCATTTTTTTTTTTTTTTGTCTTTTTTGTTTTTATCGGTACCAGGGATAGAACTCACGACTGCACACTTGCAAGGCAGGCGCTTATGCCGCTGAGCTAAATCCCCAGCCCCAGAATACAGCATTTTTAAGCTTTAACATTTTGGACTTTCCAGAGGGGAGAGGGGACAGAGGGCTACTATACTGCTTTTATGGTCTCATAACTGTCTAGAAATCCTAAACTAATAATGCAAACCATTGATAAAAAATATGACTACTAAAACATGAAAATGAATGTATCATGATTATTAAAAAAGAGAATAATTATTGGCATTCTCATGTTGAGAGAGTAAGTAGTTGTATTATATTGCAGGTAGACCAAACATCATTTAGGTAAAGTCTGCCTCCTTCTGCTTTGAAAAATAATTCAAAAATTATTTCTGATAAAGCATTAAAATCAGAAAATAAATCAGCTATAATTCTAGAGATATCAACAATAAAATATTGTTCATGTTTTTCAATATATTTTTGCTATGCTTATGACTTTTAGTATATAAGTGAAATTATACTACTCACTAGACTATCATGAAAGCCAATTTCAACAAAGATGTCCCCAATGTCATTTTATAATTAGACTATTTTATTATGCATAATTAAACAAGAAATTCTCTACTATATTTGAATCCCCCCCAAATTTTGATACTTTAAGAGAGATAGTTCTTTAAAATGCATTTTGCACACATTTAAAAATTATTCCTTTAAAACAAAATTTATGATAATGATATTTTTATGTTAAAAGATATAGGAAGAATTTTAAGACTTTTTACTTACATACCTATTAATTTATTTCTTAAATTCATTTCTCAATGCTGTAATTTAAAATTACAGTTACTTGAGAGCAGTTATTACTTATCTAAAAAACTGCATTAAAATGTGAGGGAAACAAATCTTGTTTCTTTAGAGAGAAAATGTAGATTCTACATTAGCTAAAATATACCAACTTTTATCTACCATTTAAGAACCTTCTAGTGTCAGGGAAGTTAAAAGATGCTTTACACACACAGAATCTTTGCCACTGGAAGTGCTGGAGGTTAGCAAATGCTTATTTCTTCAGGATGTTACTTTGGCCAGACAGAATCACCAGATAATGTAGGATTCCTTCTAAAACTGGATGGATTTCTATTGCTTTAGTTTTGGCTTTGTCATACTTGCAAATTTAACTTTCCTTATAGTATGCATTTCCTGTGTAGCAGCCCTTATGTATTATACACAGATGTTAGTTTCAATTTCAAAAACTTCGATTTGTACAATTTCCATTTTCACTCATTGTTTCAGAACATGAGGTGGTGCAAATATTATAGCTAAACCAAATGATGTATCCAATCACCATGATACTCTGTTCTTCAGCCTGTTACTACAAACAGATAGCAGAAAAATAAACATAGGACCATTACTGAAGCAGTGCTGTTCAAACGCATCCTCTGTAGGACAGTAACACAAGGAATGTATTAACTATCTTTTCAGTAAAGTTACCGAGATGCAAAACTGGACAACATGCAAATAAAGAATAGACAGTCTTATGTTAACTTTTTACTCACTTATTTAGAAATAAAAAATTAATAACAAATACTTCAAAATTATCCATGACATGCATAAAATACAGAGAAAACATGGGAAGAAACCAGCATTACTAGGCCATCAAAGTAAATGACCTTGACAAGAAAGCAGAAAACTCACATACAAAATTGTAACTTAAAAAATAATAGAAAATAAGTTTATATTTTATTACTAATAATAAAGCACACTACCTTTAAAATACAGATCTCATGATACTATTTTTTCTCTGACAGGAAATTTTTAAAAAAGTACAGAAATAGAGCTGCATGAAAAAAATGGTAAGTTAAAATTTAAGTTCTTAGTATAATATATGGTATGCAAACTTAGTCCATTAGAATACTGTAAGCTCTTTATGGACACACAGGCGGTACTAAATTAAAATTCTAACTATTTAAATGTGTACCTTTAATAGAAATGATGCTCCATCTACTTGTGCTTTGCCCAAGAGCTGGCAGGTCAGGTCAAAATACTGCATTGGCTGAACATCACACAACTGTACTAAGGTTGAAGAAGGTGAAATGTGTGTAGATGCCCAAACTCGCAAAGCTTCTACCATTTTGCTATCTGTAGTAGTGAAGTGAAAACACTTGCTTGAAGTACGAGGTATGATGGGAGCTCCCAAGGTTCCCTCAAATGTCAAAGATGCAAATCCGGAGCTGGTGATACCCTGAGGCTCATTTTTATATACTTGGATCTAAGAAAGTCAATAAAGTAGAAAACAGATACAAACAATGTAACTTACTGACAAAGAACCCAGGAACCAAGGAAACTTGAGAACTTTAAAAATTTCCAGGATAACTAATAGTAAGTGTTACGTTTACTTTTTCATTTAATTAGCATATGAAATTACAAAAATCAATTGGTGCTATACTAAGATACATAAGTATCCTGTAAATTTTAAAACACTATACAAAATTTAAAAGTTAGGTAAGAATCATCCTAATCCTATCAAGCTTGTGTTTTCTCATTGTATTTGATTTTTCCATGAAGCAACAATTTACACAAGGAAAAAAGGAAAGCGATAATCACTTAAGAGTGTTTCAGTATAAACTAACACAGTTAAAATAATAAAGGCACCTGGAAGCTAATGTTTAATCAGCATAACTGAGGGAACTAAGGTGTACTGGGAGGACTTTTTTCTTTCTGAATTTGAGGGTTCATTTAATAGACAAATACTTGTCAATTCTTTTTGATTGTGTGTAGATTACAGGTGTGCACCATTTCACTTGGCTTTGTAGTAAATTTTTAAAATTTAAATGTTTCACCATATTTTACTATGACGCATAGTACATGAGTTCCTGTCTACTTCCTTCTCTAATTTTTTTTACAACTGAATAGCATCCAGGCTGGTTTTCTTTTTGTGTCTCTAGTGCTATACTCATTCCCAATCCAGGGTTTTGAGGGCAAAAAAGAAACCCAAAGAACGGGAAAAGACATTCATTATCTACAAGTCTGACAAAAAACAAAAACAAAACAAATAACAAAACAAAAACAAATTAAAAAAACAGGCCCAAATATATAAATAAATTAATTATTTATATATAAATTATAATTAAGAATGGGAGATAAAATCTCATATAAACTGAGCAAAATATTCAAATAGGTATTTTATACTTCAGGAGATATTTAAATTTGAAAAGGTTCTCGACTTCGTCAATTTTCAGAAAAATTAATGAAAACCACAGTAACACTAATACATGCATATGCAAAAAATGTCTAAAATAGAAAATACTAAGTGTTGGTGAAATGTGGACCAAACAGAATTCTCTGAAATAATTGACCGTAAATTGGTATGAACCACTTTGAAAAATATGCACACATTCTAGGGCCTAGCGACACTTTTTGGTATACAACCACTGAAGTATATATGTATCGCTGAATGTATTTATATTTATATTCCTTAAAAGACATTTACTATATTGCTTGTAGAAGTATTTATAATATCCACAAAGCGAGAAAATACTAAATGTCCAAGAACAGAATAAACATATAAATTATGATGCATTCAATAAAGGAATACCATTTGTACTAAAAATGAGCAAAGTGAAATCATGAAAGCAATATGGCCTAATTGCACAAGCATAAACCAGACACACAAAAAAGAAAACCCAAACTATGTACTGCCTAATCTCATCATAAAGGGAAAATAAAGAGCAAATACAGGTAAAACTAACACAGAAGTCACAGGAGGGAACTGGGTACGTTAGCATACAGCTATATAGGCTTGGGTACTCAAGAAACAGAGACGAAGACTGCTTGAGCTCAAGAGTTTAAGCCAGGTTAGGCAATATATCAAGATCTTTGTCTCAAATAAATAGATAAATAAACAAGAACTCATGATATTGTTTACTACTGTCCTTTATTAGACTCCACATAGAAAACTTTCAGACTATCAATCTGTATTTCACAGTGAGAAGACAGATTCTAATTAGTCTGAATCAGAGCATAGAGTACATTTCTGGGGAAGTCAGTTTACTTAAATAAAGAGTTGTTCCATTGTACACTATTTTGAATATGACACCATTTATATTTCTTAACATATGAAATGCTTGAAGTCATATTCTACAAATAAATCATATAATAAGCACTAATAACACAGAGTTCTCTTCAAATAAATGTAAGTTCCAGAAAGTATGAAATATACCTTCAGTCTGTGAAAGCGAATGATGTCTCCAACTTTGTAAATCTGTGGAAGGGCTTCATAGTTTCCACTAAAGAGTAGGCAAGTTAACTTTACATTTGTTTGGTCCACAATTGTGACAACTGAGCAATAATCTAGAAAACACAAAAATATTTTACTTGATTTAAAGTATTTCAAAACATTTCATAAAATAAGAATTTGTTAGCTTCAAAACACCAAATAAACTTTGTTCCTTCCCTTAATTAACTCTTCTAAGAAAAGGATTATGAGATATTTTCCTGGCTCTCGAGATATTTTCTTGGTACTGCCAAATTAATCCACAAAAGTGTTCCACAAAAATTGATTGTATAAAGTTTGGCAAAACAAAAAAAATACAATTTTATTTTTTGTAAAGGAGTAACTTTTTTATTATTTCAAATATTTTAAATTGTGAAGCAGATGAACATATTCAAATAAAACATAATTCATAAAATAAGCATATTTACTTATTAAACTAAAAGTAACGGATGGAAGTATGCTCAGTATTAGAGTGTTTACCTAGCATACATAAAGCCCTGGGTTCAATGCTAAGCAATGCAAAACAAATAAATAAATTCAGAGAGAAAGCACAACATAAGACATTTGCAGAAACATGATGAAGTCATATTTATATTGTACAAAGATGCAATAAATTTTTTAGAAACATTAGAATTTTATAGTAAATGCATACTACAAACAAATATTTCATAGAAAACTATATAACAAAAAATTCAAAGGGGTAGTTACTTGCTAGACATCTGTAAAAGATTGTATACTAGAATAAAATATTACTTTAAACTGGCAAAATATAATTTGACTTATCATGAAACTGGTAAACATAACTATGTTAATAAAATTTGTAACAGATGGTGCCTTTTAATATGTGTCAGAAAACTGCACATTAAGAAAATGCACTGACTTCTTGTACTTCCCGGGACCAGTGAAGATGGTGAATATAAAAGAACCCAAAATAGTGAAGAAAAGGAGAAGGGCAAGAAAAGAAATGGTTTGGTGAAATCCACAAGACAATATATGATTGCTAGATGAAAACAGGAACCCCTGGGACAGAGCGTAGCAAAAACAAAGCTGAAGCCCGGGGACTAATCAAAGCGTTATGAACAGAGCAAGCGCTCATCAGTCACCACCCACCCCTCACACTCCTTGCTGCTTTCTGTTCCTAGACGCCAAGAAGTTCAGTTTAACATGATCATTTCTACCTTGGAGCCAGCAAACCAGGAGCTAAAACCTCTGAAACCATTAGCCAAAAATAAACTTTTTCTCCTTTAATTTATGAGGTCAGGTATCTTGTCTTAGCAACAGAAAAACTAATACAGGAAAAGAGATGAGTGATCTAGTAAAATTCCCCGTGGACTTGTGTGGAGGACAGCCATGTTGTCCTCCCCCAGACCCAAGTTGTGATTGTGCTTACTTAAGAGTAGTGCAGGCTATACAGAGGTGATGTCTCTAAATTAGCTTTGACTTTAACTAATGAGTATGGTCAAGCGTGTGTGAAGATCTTCATGAAAGCAGGTGGCTGACAATGGACTAAATAGTTCATTATCAAATGTTATTGGTGAGTCCTATAGTGAGCTGTGATACCATAGGGCTAAGATATGAGGTAATGTCTCTGCTGAGTTCTACATGATTCAAGAGGAAAATTCCTTCCTAGAATTGGTGACAAAGCAAGTTGCTTGTAACTAAATGTGGCTGTTCCTGTCCTTTAAGCAAAAATGCTTTTTTCCCTCTGTTACAAACTTTGCCAGCTTTGCCACTTGTCTACACATCCAGTCACAATCCCTGCACCACTTTCCCCAATGAGTAAATCCCCAGGTTCTGGGTGGCTTGAGCCTTTTGTTTCTAAGGAGCAAATGGTCTTCCCAGATCACTGCTATACATCCCCTCTATTTTTGCCTCTAACTCTTTCTTCCCACTGTAGCTTGGGACAGGGGATTGGAGCCCACTGTAAGGGCCTTCAATGACAAACATTATCAGTCTTATTAGGCTTTTATGTGTTTATCGGCACCTTCTATAAACTCCATGGAACCAATTCATTTGTAGCAGAATACTGAAACTCATACCTCATATTTGTATCAGAAAATTATTCACTACTTACAATGCCATTTTAAATTGCAGCATTCTACATTATTACTTTCACTTTAAATGTTTCAAAATGATCCACTTTTGTAAGTTGAAGAGATCATGTAAGAATAAAACTAAAATTTAACTGGCATAAATAGTAGCTGAATTTAAATATTAGCCAAGATGAACTGATAGCCCAGTGCTTGTAGCACTGAGACACTACTGAAGAATGTAATACCTTAAAAAGGCACTGGGATTTTGGTTTCAAAACAGCAGGATTACTCTAAACCTCAAACTGAAAAAGGTTCCATTCCCTGCCTTCACCTGAGAAGTGCCAACTTTCCCAAAAATGACTTGATGCACTGGCAGTCACACGGAGAAACACAGATGCAGCCCATTATTTTTTATAGGGTCACCACTACTTTCCGTTTAATTTTGTGAAATTCAAGACTCTCTTTTCTCAGGTAAAAGTACCACACAATCTAATCAAATGTATAAACTTTACTGAGCTCAGAAAACAGTTTTGGCTATACACCCCCCAACACACACACATGAACATATATGTGCACACACATTCACACATATCCGCATCCCACTGGACCTTGTCATATGCATCCTCACAAACAGAAATATACTGCACATATTTAAAGCTCAGTAAAGCTCCTTGCCTAGTCTCTGTAAGTGACTATGTTACATTCAGAGTTAGCATGGTAAGAGACTGCCAAAAGAAGCAACCTCAGAGGATCCCCAAAATGTAGTTCCAGTAATTGTGCATATCAGGGAGTATATATCTGCACACCCAGCATTCTGTGTGTAAATGACATGACAACATGTGCTGATAAATTTTTATGTGACAGTGTATTCCTCTAAGGCAGGAAGACTTGGCCAAAAGGCCTCAAATCCCATGTCTGTGTGTTGTGTGTCTAAAAGGCTCTATGTCTGAAAAGAATGCTGGACACTGTACATCTACATTGCAAAAATACCAACTCCCTCTTCTTAACTTTCTCTTGACTAACATTTTCTTCTTTGAAAGTACTTCTATCTGTAAATATAAGGAAGTATAAACCAAAACTATTGTATCCCACTGCTTTACAAACTAAGCTTTTGTTAATTCACATACAGGAAAGGACAGAAGCAAGGCAGAGAATGTAGGAACCAAAAAAAAAAAAAAAAAAAAAAAAAAAAAAAGAAGAAGAAGAAGAAGAAGAAGAAGGAAAAAGATCTTTCCATAAAACAAACAAGTGTCTCAGAAAATACACACCAAAAAAATTCTGTATTAAGTAGACAAAATGGTAACTAGAATTCATAGGCATACAAGATCTACTTGATTCAGTGAAGTGGTAAGGGAGAGTACATGCCATGCCACAGAAGCACTGGAAATACCACAGGAGAATGATCTTCATTGAATAATTTGAACAAATCCTCTCTGGAATTTAAATTTCTTGAGGATTTCCCTCCATTAGCCTGCATTGCTAAAATATTTGTTGTGGCCAGTATATTGCATTTAGAAACAAAGATCTTTTATCCTTTGCATTACTATTTTCCAGTTCATTTTTTCAATATTAGTACATAAATGAACCTAAGATTTACTTTTTACTTAGTGCTACATGCAACAACTATAATCTAGTAAAAAATATTAAATGAACAAGGAACAATTCCTTCCCACATGAAGTTCAAGCTTTCCTTACACTGATTCATATTTTTATAAATTAGTGTGATAATCTTATCTCATGTGTTATTTTATGCCAGTATTAGCTAGTATACAGAGTTTATACTTCCTGAACAGGCAATGACTCATCATGATAAAGGCAGAATTAATGATGCATGTGACATTTTCCAGAGTAACTGGAAAGTGACATTTGAGCTTGGCACAGACCAATTTAAGATGGTGTCAAACTACAGTATTACATTAAACATTTACATTTTCAGAATAAATGGCACAAAAACAAAGATTTTGTAAGTTTCAGACCCAAATTAGCAATTCAAAATGTCAAAAATACCTGAAATTAAATTTCTAACAATGACTGAAGTTTAATGAGAGTCTGAAATTAAGTCTACTTATGAAAGATACTTGATGTTGGTAAAAGATATTTTAGAATCATAAATACAGCCCTCAAGGTATCAAATAAAAATTAGTAAAATTGTACTTAGGTACAATTACTTATATTCTATTTTACAGAAGCAGAATAAAGCACTCTACTACTTCTAAGAAAGGAAACAAAATGAAAACGTCTCTTTGAAACAGGCCTTCACTGTGCAATACAGACTATCCTTCATAGCCAAGGCTAGTCTCAGCTCATAGCAATCCTCCTACCACAGGCTCCCAAGGGCTGAGATTACAGTGCTGGGATTCTGAGGGACACGGCTGGCTCTCCAAAAAGGGAAATATACTTTAGTGTGTGATCAGGGTTTAAGATTGTTTGCTAACCTGGTAAATTACACTGTAACTGATCTACATGATGGATTTACTACTGCATATATTTGTAAGATAATTATTGAATAACATATCAGTATACTGAAATTGTAACTACATATTTATTTCATAGAAAGACCTCATGAATATTGTCATAGAAAGAATCTACTAAATTCCAATGAAACAGCATAAATATATGCCATTTTTACATAGTATTAATTAAAATTTATATTTTGGGTTGTAAACTAAATGAATAAAGGAAAATAAGAATAAGTAAAAAAAAGTATATTTCCTGAGATATATAGAATAGTAGTTACATCCTAGGGAAAAAAAAAAAAAACAAAGGTAATCTAAGAAGATGTATGTTCAGGAGGTGTGAGGCTATGTAAAGCGGAGTCAACTGAACAGGTAACAGGAAAAAAGAGAAAACTCTTCATTAGAAATCAGTGGTCAGCAATGTAAGGCTCTGGGTCAAAATAAGCCAACCACTTGTTCATTCTTTCCAAACATTTCAACTTAGTTTTCATAAATACACTGTCTTCATATTAATCAATTTATATAATATTTAAGTTACCAAATTAAAAAAAAAGTAAAAGGTCTGGGAACACACAACATCATAAAAAT